GGTCGGGCCACTGAAGCAACGAGGGCTCTTGTGTCAGTCAGGTGCGCACAGGGCCTAACCGGAGGTCCTGCGTCAGCCAGGGGCCCTGAGTCGGCCAGGGGAACATTTGCTGAACAGGGACAGGGCCGTGCCCCTGAATGCCAAAAGGCCTCTTGCAAACGTTGGGGCCCCTGATAATTAAATAAATACGAGAACTTACGATGAGAGTCAACAATGAGACCATTGAAGGGCCCTGTGTCAGTCAGAGGCCACAGTGCTTAACGGGGGCCCTCCGCCCTATTTCAGACATGGACCCGTTGAGCCAAACTAGGCAAGTTGTGCCTACTATTGCACCTGCTGCGGCGATGAGTGATATTTTTGTGTCAATGAGGGCCCCGCGTCGACCCAGAGCCAACTTCCCTATTCGGAGGGCCTCGCGCGTTGGGGAGGGTACCAATGTGTAATTTATCTTTCTAAGAGAAATAAATCATCCTCGACTCCGTCCCGTGTCACCAGAATGGCAGCCAGTAGGCATCTCGCGCTGGAATGCAATGACCTTTCAGCCCCTGACCGGGAAAGATGTGCCCCTAGCGTTCTATCCACTAGCCCTTTATCCGGAAAAGAGAAGGGTTCTTCTTAGTGCTCAATAGGGTGGATTATAATACGGTCAAAAGTGAAAGAGGGCCAGCCGGTGTTTCCTGAAAATGCAGGCATTCATTTGCCAACGTTTCATTCGACGCCGCCTTGTCTGGGATCGGTGGGGCTTCCCGGCGGAGTGGGGTCAGCAAGCAAGATGGCCGTGGTCTGGAATCCGCTGCCGCGCCAAACACAACCGTTTGGCCGAGAGATGAATGTGGATTGGTCCGCCGCTCCAGCCGATCGGCCCGCAATCAACCAAAGCTGCCACCAGCGGTTGACTGATTCTGCGTGGAGAAACCGTGTTGTGTGTGGCCCGGCCAGGTGGATAAGCCGCCGTCCTCCCCCCGGAACGGTCATTGCGGCTGGCCCCATCTTCCGAAATGGTCCATCACGTCATCGCTAATGGACGCGGGAGCCAGATCACCGGCGGAAACAACATGCCCAGGAATGTTTGTCTGGCATGTTGTGAAGATGCTTGCCGCTCGTCCCGAGAAACCCGGCAGCGCCGGCGCCGCTGTCACTCAGTTGGCATCACAAGCGCCACCCCACGTGAAAACTGGGCCAGAGTGGGGACGCACAGGAGCCTTCAGCGGCGAGAAGCGGAACGGGGCTTGCACCATCGCCGGCGGACGCCCACCCCCGAGATCTGGCCCAGAGGCACGCTGGGGGCCGTGCCCTGGAAGCAGCGCAGGCCGGCCCGGCCGTGCGAGCCAAGAATGAGTGGAGTGAAGTGGGCACCAGCGGATGTCTGTGCTTGAAGTGGGTGTGGTGGGGTGCCGAACGTGTGAAGTCTGTGTGGATTAGTTAAGGCCGTGGAGGAGGGGGAGGCTCCCAGGTTGTTTTTCAGCGGGGCCCTTGTCAATGTTACTCGCCGGCTGCGTGGGATCCCTGCCAATTTGGGCGCATTATCAATGCATCTGGTTTCGTTTTTGCTCCGTTGAAATGCTATCCTCCGGTAAAAAGATGGAGGTGGGGTACCGCGGTTAAGGGCGCTCCCTACACACACGGGAGACAGCACGGGGACTTACGCTATATCCGCATATGATATGCCAGTCCCATGCACAGGGATACAGCCGTCCATGGTGCCCGACCGAACCTACCATCCCGCCAAAGTCCCGGTCACCCGCTTCATCCCAGCTTTGTGGCTCACATGAGTGCGTGTTGATCTCGGATGTACCGGAGAGTCACAACGTGCCAGGTCGTGCGCTAAACATCGTTTGGCTCGTATGCTGACCATTGGGCTACTTAAATACAAATTCGTTCTTGTGGGAGGCGTGGACAGCGGCAACCGTCGGCTTACGAACATCCAGGGGTGGCTTAGCAGCGGCGCAGATTATTGCACCACTAAATCCCAAAACGAGGACGCCTATTATACCTAAAAATTGGCTTGTAAAAATGCCATAAATCTGGTGGGTAATGCACAATCGCAATTTTGGGAGCAAGAAACCGATGTCAAGGGGTTGCTGTTCCATCAAACCGAGCGGCGTTGACCGTGGCAGCTAACACCGGGGCGACGGGCGACTACTGGCGCGCGAAAACGGTGGGCATGAAATAATGCCTCCGTAAGTCTTTCGAAATCTATTTGTGCCATTAAAAGATAAGACCGAGATAAATATTCTATCTGTGAATTGTTTTGGTTGACTTTTCACTAGAGACAGCAACAGGAAAACTAGAGATTCTATATTTACTTTTCCAGCTGTATCACCACATTCCAACATCGCACGGTGGTGTTGTAAATGCTAGTTCGTACCGTTCATCAATATGAAAATCCCGCGGGTGAAATATGCCCCCAAACTGCCGTCGTACAGATTCCCGTTCTTAAGAGTTCAAAGGTACCTCTGGTAGATCCGCCATTGTTTTCGTCCGTCCGTTGGCCGCCGCACAATGTCGACCACGGAGTCCACGCCGCGCTGCCCATGGAGACTGCAACGCCGGGCGTCGTGTGTTTCGTTTCAAGGCTTGTGAGGGCGCATGTTAAAAAGGATGTTGTATGATTTTTTCAGTTCTTCGTTCGGAAGGACAGTGGAATACTCCCAGACGAAATTGGCTTGGCCACGCCAATACAATGTTTTAAAGCCATCTCCACCCACGTTCTACGGTTACGGGATCCTCAGCATCTTGAATATCTATTATTATCCGCATCTGGAGTGCTATAGCTACAGAACGAGCCCACTGAACCATCGTACAATGAGTAGAACCGGCGGCTTTTTTCATGCATTCATTTCATGCCTTCGTCCCTCAGTTTATTGACTTCAAAATGAGAAGAGAATTACATCTTCCGGGAGCCTCTGCTTTCTGTTTCAATTACAGAAAGTGAAAACTAAGATAAAAAGAAAAAAATCGTACCCCCTCGAAATCAAACAGGTGAAATACGGTGATAACGTTATGGGGGAGGGTCCTCCGCCATCAATGATCCTTTGTCAACCTTGTGACCGCCCCCCCCCCCGCCCCCTCCCACCAACACTCTTTGCTGCGTCCCCACTGCTTTTGATACGAAGACGCGAAGCTGGGCGCCTAAATTACCTTCGCGAGTGGTCGCAAGTATCACTTGTTTCTCGAGCTATTCATTCAAATTGTTAACCGTTCATAATCAGTTGACAGGTCGAAATAACAAAATGAACAGCGGTTCACCTCTTACATGTGTACAAACCTACGACTTCTTTTGTGCACATCGACCGGGGCATCGTGCGGCGGTTCTCATACTGTTTTGCGCTGCGCGTGGATGGAGTCGTCGTGAAGTGACAGGTGTGTGCGGTTCACTGTACGTGCTTTTCCTGAGATCAAAATTATCCCGTTACATAAAGCCTGGATACACTCGAAATCGTCGCAGCCGTGGCCAACAAGTCGTATCATCAGCTTGAGGTTTGCTACAAATAATGCTCTTCATAATGTTATTTCACTTCAAGGGCATACTTGCCGCGCCCAGCGAAATCGTGGAAGAATATAGGGAGCAGCGTGAGTGAGAATCATATTCGATATTTCCTGCTAAGTGGTTGCCTATCTGCGGTCTTGCAAAACTCACTGTTGTGAAGACGAGATCAAGGTACCCTGAGCTATCACATTTTCACGCTAACTTAGAGGTGTGTGCCTGGTGTTCGCTGGGTCGTTCTTTGGTTTGGCATTACTGGAGTGCCAGTGACCGTCCACTGCATTGTGGGTTAAGCCGCAAGGGCGCCTGGGATACATTTTCACAATGGATCGATAGGGACATCCCAGAACCTTTGGACGACTACGGATTTGTATGTTGTGTGAGAATCATTGTTCACCCATAATCATTTGGCCACCTTGATGCTTTGCATTGCCTCCGGATCTTTGTATGTTTTAAAAGGTGCTTGGAACAGAACGCTGCACTCAAATGTCTTTCTATTCGACATTAGTGCTTAGTTTTGTCTTCTTTCATTGAATTCATTTGCAGTGCTGTGCTGTGCACTTTTATGCTTGGCCATCACCAGCGTTGGAAGTGCTTTCTTGCTCATCGGAATGCCGGCTGTGTCAATTCAACCTTGTCTCCTCTTGCCTTGCCTTGTCTTCCTCGTTGTATGGAGATGAGGACAGTACACGCACCAGTTCAGCGAATGTCATAACACGTCGCTGACGGATCATTTTGCCCATGGCTTTGGACTGATCGGAGGACACAAACGGCGGCGAGCAGCCCCGACTGACTCTCAGTTCCATCGCTAAATTGTGGATGAAATGACTGCATATATAATACAATGAAAATCGCATAAAATTAAACAACTGCGACGGCATCACGGGGCCAGGGCAGACCGATGACTTTTCGAAATATCGCCGGTCCTGCGAGAGCATCCTTCGACCAAAGGCTGCCACATTAGCTTGGCTTTGGCGCGTAGGGAGCCGCATACACTTGGCGTTGGAGCAGCGTGATCGCCGACTGACTAGGATCCTGCACCTCCGCCTTGAGGTGGTTGGGGGTTGGACGGGGATGTCCTCACCTCGGTTATTCCACCGTCCCAATGGTTGCGCCATCGTGTCATGCAAAGTGTGCGAAAACATCTGATGTGCTGATTTTTGCAAAAAAGTAGCTTGCGTTGACTGACTGCGGGCTGTCCGCGACAGCACGGCGCCAGGGCCACTACATCGTTGATGAACGAAATTTTTGAGGGGCTCATGTAATGCAGCTCTTGAGAACCAGCCAAAAGTCCCCATTGGCGCGTCTCTGGGCCAATGCACGGCCGTTTTCTGGCGTTGATGCGTTGAGGCCAGCGGTTTTTGTACCTTTTATCGCCTTTGCCCAATAGTCCCAACCACCGAGAAGACCCCCAGATAGCAAGGGAGCGTCATTCATGCCGATATCGTGTGCCGCTAAGTTGAGTTGCACCCAATCTGCGATCAACCAATACATATAATCTATAATCGCTAAGTACAGAGACCTTCAAGGTTCTGGGGCTGAAGCCTCCGCCTTTAAATGTCATGTACAATCAGGTGGTTAACGGGACTAGGGCAATCCAAGTAGTGCCCAAGCATTGCTCTCTCGTTGTGTTCCATTTAGCCACGGTCGAGCTGGAGAACGGCTTCGCCAAAGTTCACGCGGCCTTTGTGTTCACCAAACGGTGGCTTCCTGGTTGCCAAATCACTTGACGGAGGGTCTACGCTCGACAGTATAGACACTGGAGGCACACAGCCGGTCTCTGTTCACCAGTACGACGGTCACTCATATGCAACAGCGGCTAC